TTTGGGGAAACCGAAGAAACTTGTGGATTTTTATTTTTCTTGAAATAATTTCGTAAGAAATTTTGAGTTGAGAGGGAGTTTGTTGCCGGAGAAGATGATACGTGGATGCATCCGTACGGTGACGTGGCTGCTTGGTTGGTCGCCGGAGAGGGGTTTCGGTCCATGAACGGAGCCGGCGAAGGCAGTGGTGGGGTGGGGTGAGGTGCCCAGAGAAATTAAAATCAAAGTGTGTGTATTTGTGTGTCTGTGTGTTTTTTTCATTTGGGGAAGATGGCTTAATTGAAAATATTAGGGACTGAATTGAAAATTGTATAAACTTCATTTGGGTCATAAAAATTTAGATGTTGGACAGATTCATCTGAGGGTGTATTTGTCTTTTCACGAACAGTCAACGGATAAAAATAAAATGGGTCGAGTGTGCATGTTTGAACACTTATTAGGGGGGTTTTTGTCACTTTTTTTATCCCGGGGGTTTGGTCTTTAGGATTAACACAGGGGGTTTTTTGCATTTAACTTATTAGTTAAGTAAAAAAAAATGAACTAATAAATATTAATACCAAAAAAATATATAAATTAACTAAAAATAAGCATATTTATATTATTAGAATTAATGTTTTTATTAGTAATAACAAATGTGTTTATATTTTAAAAACTAATTTAGTAATTAACACCAATGTATTTACGATAAATATGCTATTAAGTTGGTAATCAGGTGCAATTAGTTAAAAACGTTATTTTATATACTACTTAATAAAATGGTGTTAATTACACCAAATCCTATTTTCACCTCTATATTTGGTAGGAAAAATAGGAAAATGGTGGATCGGTGGGAGATGAAAATTCATTCACCAAAAGATTTGGTGGAAAAATAGGATTTGAGTATATGGTGATATGGGGTTGACCACGGTGGGAGTCTAAAACCAAATCTCCATAATTTAGGTGTAATGGTGATATAGGAATTTCGGGTTGGAGGATAAAAATACATAAATTAGATAAAAAAAATGGCGATATAACGACCGATCGGAGATGCTATTAGTATCCAACAAAGTAAACCTTAATTAAAATGATTAATGTAGTTTGCTGAAAATTGAGAAACATTTGAATTTCATGTTAAATGAGCTCAAAATTTCTAGTAGAAATTACATGAAATAATTATGAATCCCAATGAGAATAAATATATTATCATATTTGAAACTCAAGAATTGTTGTACAAATCAATTGCACTAAAAACCAGTGTCCAAATTAATCCTGCAATTATTAATGCAATTGTCTAATTCTTCTATCTGCTGTTGATCAGATATGAATGAGAAAGAATGGGTAGGCCCCACTGACAGGAGAAGATAATGGCGGGAAAAGCTTCATCCATCTTCATCCTCTTCACAAAGCAACCATAAATCTTAGCAATCTTCTTCGGCAACATAAACATAATCGAAAACGGCTTCCAATTCACCTTCCTCGAGCGCGACAGCTTAACCCCTAATTTAACTCTTCCATGAACTTTCTTCGTGCACATGAGCCGCCTTGCCCTAATTGTATTCGTCTTCTCGTCGCTTCTTCTGCTGACGAGCCTCTCGTATTTGGCTGAATCTTGAAATTCCGTTCGCAGTATCTGTTTATAATTCATAATTAAATGGCTATTTTATTGAATACTTTTTCTTAATTACCACGAAAAACGGAGAGGGCGGGGGTTAATTTCTTGAATGTGTGGAGTGTTCATATATATAGAATTAATGATGATATTTATATAGAAAAATAGGTTGAGGAGGGAAGCACATGGAGAATCTTTTTCACCCAATTATTTCAAACAAACACTAGTTTTTTTTTTTTTTTTTTTTTTGGAAAGGGATAAAACTTGCCAGGTTTGGATTCCTTTCAACACATGGCTAACATCATATTATACTACATTGCATTGTATTCATAGGGACTAATAGGGGGCCATGACCCCCAATATTTTTCAAATCCTTATTATTTTATATAAAAATTTCAAAAAAAAAATTGATATAATAACATTAATAGCCCGCCTTACAAAAAAATTAATGCAGTCGACTCTAACAGACTTAAAATTCTGGCTCCGCTAGTGCTAATAGGGGTGATAATATTAAAGTAATAAGTTGATGTGTCTTTTTGTTGTTTTGCTTGAAGGTGTAGATGCTATTATTATTCCATAGTAACACATGGCCATCATATTCACCAGCTCAATAATATTTTGTGATGTTTTTTTGTATTTATATTGGAGGGAATATAAGGAATATATGTATGACATGTGCAATGATTGTTATCATATTGAAGATTAAAAGGATATGATTTTCTTGGAGAGAAGAAATATCTTTTATTTTTAATTATTGATAATTGGCTACAATAGAAATATCTAACTATTTCTATGTCTTTAAACATAGGTTAGATTAATGATGATTAGTCCAATTTGACAGGTTTATTAGTTAAGCTGAGGAATATTTGGTTCAAATGTCCACTTCAAAGAAACAAACCCTTCTTCGGCCCCACTAGGGAATATTGTGGGATCAACAAATTAAATTGAGATATTATTATATTGTCAATGAAAATATAATATATGGTTATTTTATATTTGAATCCATAATTATACAATCCTTTATTCATGGAAAAGCCATGATTACATTACAAGAATTAATTTTTCGAGTGACAACACTAATTTTCATATGATTTTAGGTAAAAAAAATGTTGTTAATGTAGTTGTAACTATAGTTATAACTAATAGAGTATCACTAATGTTCCATAGTGACAATAAATAAAAGGGATTGTCACTTTTATTAGTGACCATAACAAACATTAAGTGACAACAAAATGATCTATAAGTGACACAATATTGTCACTTTTATTAGTGACCATAACAAACATTAAGTGACAACAAAATGATCTATAAGTGACACAATATTGTCACTTAACATATGTATTAAATGACAACTTTTGATAGTGTCACAATTATAATATCACTATTTCTTTTTCTTTTCTCCCAAGTGAATTATATGAAAGTGGGCAACCCTTCTTTTAGATTTTTTAAGCCAACAATACATTTTTATATTGTTTAAATTAAATAAGAGATCGTAAATTAAAATCTTTGCAATTATATTTTTGGTCTTACTTTACAGTTATATTTCGAAATATGAATATGTAAAACATTTATAAATCACATGTAATTGACCATTTAAACTATTCTCTAACATAGGGATGGCCATGGACGGGTTTGGCTTTCCCTGCGCCCGTTCCGTTAGAAAATCCACTAAAACCGTACCCTCCTTGTCCCGCCCCGCGATGGGTGCACATTTCATTAAGCTGCACTTGCCCCGTCAAAAAACCCGTTATATTTTAAAAAAAATATATTATCAAACTTCACATTCACTGGCAATAATATGAATCTGGTTGGAAAATTCTGAACAAAAAATAAAAATAAAGAAATAGGAATTTGAAAGGTTTATAGTTTTAAAATATAATAATATTATAATATATAAATAAATAAATTATAATAAAGTAATATAGATTTACATGTGGGGCGGGCATACACAAACCCGAATCCACCCCGAACCCATTTCCGGGAGAAAAAATAGAGCTCGTACCCTCTCTATTTATCTAGGGGCGGGTATTACCCTAAATTTCGGGGCGGATAGCCACGGGTTGGATACAAATTGCTATCCCTACTCTAACTACAAATCTCACTTTTGAGTTTTCTTTTTTTTTTAAATTCTTCGTAATGGTGTACAAGCCAAATAATATAAATTATGCGAATACATTATACAGCTAGTGTAATTTTTAGGGGAGAGTGAGCTAGAGTCCACTCTGATAATAGTGGGGGTGAGGTTGAACTCAGTATCGTCGTTTTTTTTATCACGAGCTTCAAAATAAACTCAAAATATTTAATATATATATCCTTACGTTCGTCTTTATTATATTCGTCGTCGTAACATGATCCCCATAACTCGATACATAATTTTTCTCATTAATTGGCCTAAACTCATCTCTAGAAGTATAATAACCATGTTTAATTAGAGTATTCTAATTGCAACTTGCGTTTAGATTAATGATTTCAAGATAATCATCATTAGCTACAAGACTAATAACAAATATTAACTTAATAGTAGAGATCGATCGAGACTTGTGGCTGGTGCTTTGACTCAATAGCTGGCTGTAAAGTGTAGGAATAATTTGATCACCAAATAAATTACATATTTTTCTTAACTTATACAGAAGCTAATTATTTAAAGCTAGTGTATTAACAAATTTTGTAGGTCCATATATCTAAATAAGATATCACACACCAATACAAAGACTCCAATAAACACATTTACCAAATGATTGGTAACTAAAATAATGTGAGTGCCCACCTTTTTATTCAACAATAATATAATTAATGATGAATGATTTCTTGGAGAGAAGAATTATATATATATATATATATACTAGTAACGAGCACCGCGCAATGCGCGGTGCCCAGCTCGATGCCGGTTACCGACTATTTGTGTTCGATCAAAAGATCATATTATGAATAATGTGGACAATTCTCAATTCGCACTAAACACAATTTGCAGAAATTAAAGAAGACTAACATAAATTTTCTTCTGAAATAAATAGCTTATTCAACTGTCAAATGTTTGCATTCACAGAAAGGCATCCCCGTTGATAGCTAGGCGAAATTATCAAAATATGAAGGGCATGGGTGCTAATACACAACCGTTTTATTAAAAAGAAACATCTGAATGTAATCAGCAATAAGCAACCAAAAACAAGCCCTATACACTCTTGTTCTTGGAAACCAAAATTACCAGCATTTTTGTGATATTAAATAAGCTATATTTTGTTTTAGCTTTCTTTTCAATATGAATTTACAAAATATCTAGCTTTATTGTCTATTATAATTTGGTCAGTGAAGAACACTAACGGTCTCTAATTCTCTATGCATGAAACATTTTTTTTTTTTTTGAAAAACTCTATGCATGAAACATATAACACAGAGCATGGTGAGAGGAGAAATAAAAAAATAAAAAATAAAAAATAAAATCTGGAAAAACAGAATCTTTTAGTGCTGACAGGAGGAAAAATGGCTGAAATATAACAAAGACAAAAAAAATTGAGTCCACCTCATTCGATAGAATTCCGAAGCATGGAACGAAGTGTGGTTGGCTAGAAGCGCGACGCCTAATTTTGGACGGAAACAGGGAACTTAGAAAACCCAATATTTTTTTTTTCTTTAGTGGAACCGATCTTGCAGTAAGAAAAAAAAACAGGAGCAGCAAAGAAAATGGCTGATTGACATATATTTGCATAATTTTTGGAAGAGAAATGGAGAAGTGAAAAAAAAAGGACGACGCACCAGAAATCATTATTTTTGAATTATCCAATCTTCGATGTGGTCGAGAAGGGGCCGAGGTGGAAAAAAAGTAGGTGAAAGCCGTCGGAACGTGGCCTACCATGTGTATCAGTGGAAGGGGTGGCCGCGGCGAGAATCGAACAAAGCGGCGTCTAGCATGTATCTGACTTTGCTTTTCTAACCTCAACAATAAGCATAGAAGGGGCATTCTGAAAAACCTACTCAAACACATAATATACCTCAGCTAGCATGCAAAAATACAAGTGATTTTTTAAAAGAAGAGTTAGTCATACGATAACATACCTCAGTAACAACATTAGGATAACATTTTCTCTCAAGCTCTCAAGTTCTAAAGTCCCATATGCAAAGGCTAAATGAAAATTTAATCAAAACAAATCAGTAAAAGGGTTGTTGAACTATTTCCAAATTCCAACTAATCTCTCCATCATGAGATCCTGGGGAAAAGCTTTGGCATAGCATCAAAAGCACGAAGAAGCCTCCAGTTTCGACCCCTGTCAACTGCCGTCTCACCATATCCGCTCCTTCATAGCTTCTACTTCCTGCCCTTAATCAGTCTACAGCAAAAATTGCAAAATATTAAAGACTGAAGAGGCACCTCTACCTACAACATTTTTCACTGAACATGAAATTCAAAACAATTAAGCAGAACACACACTCAAGAGAGTGAATGATAGTGGAATACAATATTCATAATAGAGCAACTTTAAGTAGGCGAATATAAGGCAAATAGATATATCCAGAGATAGTAGAAAATTGGAGGCAGTGGAAATAAACATCCAAGGCCAGAAATAGAGAAAAAATCAAATAAGAAAGGTAACATATGGGCGCAAGGAAGAACAAACAAGACCGGCGGGACAATGTGAACGAGCAGGACAACAAGATTGCAGAAGGCGCAGCAAAGGCATAGAAAATCCCAGTGAGATCGTGAATCGTCGAAAAATCTGAAGAATGCAATAGGAATAACTTACAATCCCGCAAAACACTATGGCAAACAAGATCAGTAGTTGGCAAAACTGAAGACGGAGAAGATAGGCAGGAGCCACTTTGCTAATTGAACTAAAAATATATCAGGGGAAAGAAAAAAGAAACTGGACAGTCACCGGCGTTTATTTCCACCCATTGAAGCAGGAAAATGATGAGCACACATATTTCAGGCATGAAATCAGGTACGTCGATAATTTTCATAATCAAATTAAAATTCAGCATCAAAATTGATGATCAACAACTATTATGCTGTCGGTCATTACATAATCTGCAGGACACACACAAAACACAGAAAGAACCACATATAACCTGAGCCAGATATGAACCGCAATCAAATCTACCTCTGCCGGTGAGCCATGTTTCAGGAAAATGTGATTTTCTTGAATGTTTGGTGAAGAAGGAATCATCGCAAGTGCTAAGAAGGTACATCTTTCCATAGCAGTTTTCTTTATGAAAGAGGGAATTATTTGGGGCATCTTGGAGGCATGCCAGCAGTGCCTGAAATATTCAATTTCAGATAATCTTTAAATTTTGATAAAAGAGGATTGGAGTGAAAAGAGAAGAACGGATGGACATCGCTCTTCAGTCTTAAGTGATTCGATAAAGATTATAGGAAATCCAATTCAGACCCGGGAACTTGCACCCACGGAGAAGAACCAAAATTGGAAGCAAAATCGAGAAATATTCAACAGCGATTCAGCAACTGTACGCAACGAGTGAGCATGAAGAAGGAAGAGAAGAAAAAAATCGAGAATAAAAGGAAAGAGAAAAGAAGAAGCAAAAAGGTCGATCATACATATCGTGAAAAGAAGGACAAAGAAATTTAGCGCCTAGCATCAGAAGCCCTTTTTGCAACAAAAGTTCAAATATATCTGTGCTAGAAAGCTTTGATTCTACCTCATAAAACTACTGTTACCTTTTGAACTTCATCCGTCCTACTGATTATCTGTTTTGCTCATGCGAGGAACTTAAATTTTTCATCAAGCAAATTCATGGCTGTGTCAGAAGCATTCCCAAACTGCACTTTACAATCACAGTAGAGAATGAGAACTAATGTAATTTGTGACACATCTAAATCAATAGGTAAGAAATTTGTAGTCCACACTCCACAGGCATACTCAGTCATGTCAAAAATAAAAATAGGTGTAAACCTCACCGGAGTAAAGCAATCTGAAAATCCTCATTACAGAAATAAGATTGGAAATAATATTTTATAATTGAAAACAAGAATACCAATGAGGCTGGATCGTGCAAGACGTAGAATTCCTATTATTTCAGAACAGAATAACCATTCTCTTGCGTGTTAGTTTCAGGCGAAGATCTTTTGAATCTACAGCAATAAAGTTTAAATACAGCATGAAATTTATTGATTAAAAAGAGACGAAAAAATCTAACACGAGAGAGCATCTATTTTACGAAATTAACTATTACCGTCTAAACGGCTGTCGTACCCGTAGCTCCGTGCACTCACACCCACTCTCATTCTGAATCAACAAATCATACAAACAAAAATTGTTAATTTCCACTTATACAAATGCACAAGCTAGAAAGTAAATTGAAATCAAATACCAGTAGAAAGGTGAAAGCAACAATCACCTTTTGGCATTGCTAAATCGACGATCATCACTGCTCCGAAAAGACTCCGACGACGGTCTTTTGCTTCCGGATAGCACCAAAGCATTCCGGCGAACTCCATTAGAATCTCTCGACGAATCCTTCACCACCTTCTGCGCATCACGAAAAATGCAAACACCCGCAGAATTAGCTTAATTATCAAAACGACGACGATCGGAAATCTCGGTTGAGATGAAAAGTAATTAATACAGGATTGCAAAATTAAGCAGCCCACAGTCATGGATAACGAAAACAAAAAGGGGCAGATTTACATGAGTGTCTAAGCATACTATAAACGCTGTTCTTACACAATCGAAATCGAATGCAAATATTAATTAAATCGAACAATTTAAAGAGGCAGCAATACTGAGAAAAAACGAGGAAGAAAAGAAACAGATTTACAAAATTGAAGCTCTATTAACGGTGATACAAACATGATTATATCAACACTTTAAAACAGATAATAACGAAAATAAATGCAACACTTTTCAGCAATTTTAATAAAACCTGGGAACTTAGGTGGCAGAGAGAAGAAGGAGGTGGGGGCTGCACAGATAACTTAGGTGGCGGAGATGCGGGATAATATTAAAGAAAGATAGAGGGCGGCGTCTGCAATTGGTTGAAAAAAGAGGTGGGAAGTGATGTTGGCGGTGGGCATCGGACGAAGCGGCAGCGGCGGGCGTGGAAGTGGCGAACGGTGGAACGGTGGAGGTCAACAATTGTGGCCAGATGTGGAGGCCTTCGCCGAAACGACGCCATTTTCGAGCGAGCAGATTAAAAGAAAAGGAAAAAAAGAAGCAGACTGGTCGTGGTCGAGCAGCTTGGGAAGAAAAGGAAAAAGAAAAGAACGCGGCCATCTGATTGGAGAGGAGAACGGGAACGACGACGTTTAGTATTTAAATAGGGCAGAAAAAAAGCAAAAAGAAAAGGCATAAAATAAAAGGGGACGATCTAATTCAAGCACAACAATTCAAACAAAGATCTAATTCTTAATTAACTACTACTTTTTCAACACAACGATTAAATCAAGAAACGAGCTATCTTATTAAAGATCCAATTTTTTCAACGAATACTGTCCAATTTCAAGCACAGCAATTCAAACAAAGATCTAAATTTTAATTAACTACAACTTCTTCAACACAACGATTAAATCAAGAAATCGACTATCTTATTTAAAGATCCACTTTTTTCAATGAATACTGTCCAATTTCAAGCAAAACAATTCAAATTTTCAATTCCACCTAAAGAAGAAGCAAACAAGAAGCTTTAACCTCGCAGAAATTGCACGATGAGTAAAAACAGAGGATGATTTATTCGAACAACACGAGTGGCTAACCATGTAAGGGAACTGTTGTTTTCCACCCATTTGAGGTCCCTTGGCCCGGAAATTCGGGCCGTTTCTTGGACAGGGATAATACAGCACGTCAAGATCCAATACTGGAACAATTTCTCAAACCTGTAACAAAAACGAAACATCAGTCAGTGCCCGCAAAGGTCATAAAACTATAATGCGCAACTGATATTGAAGATACCTTCCGACAAAATGGGCAGCTGAAGAAATTCCCAAATTTAAGCAGTTACATATGAATATAATAGAAAACCCCGAATTTAATTGTAGTAACAATCAGATATTCAAAGGCCAAAAAGAAAAACAGTAGTAACAATGGAAAGGCGAAGGCGAAAAAGAACAATAGAGCTAATGAACGTGAAACTCACCGTGAACGAGGATCGACCGAGGCGGCGTCGAAACAGGTGCCGGCACGAACGGAGTGGCGGTGGCGGTGGCAGTGCGACTGTTGGCCGAGTTTTGAAGCAAGTCACTTGAACGCCTGGCCAATTGCCGGAAAACAGGTTTAATTGAAACTAAATAAGAAATCAGAAAACGGGTGAGGAAGAAAACCTCGTATTCAATGAACCTCAGTTATGAGGGATAACAGATAGAGATGGGAGGGTAAAAATTTATGCAGTGGTGGCAGAAGGAGGACAACGCACGAACGAAGTAGGAGGAAAAGGGACAGGCTGGGAAAAAGGGCTCCGTTGGAACTTGAACCGTAGAAATCACACCCAAAAATTTAAGATATAGACGAGGAGGGCGGCGAGGCATGCTATTGGAGGGGAAAAGCGGCGCCATGTCATAGGGGCATCGGGTGAAGCGGCGGCGGACGCCGGTCGAAGCAGCGGTGGAGGTCAACAAATGTGGGCGGTATGTGAGGCTGGGCCCCGAAACGGCGTCATTCCGCAGGAAGCCGAATTAAAAAAAAATCGAAATTCAAGCAGGCACGACACGGTCGAGCAGCTTGGAAAATAAATGGAAAAGAAAAGGAAAAGAGGCGTTGATTGGTGGGGCAAAAAGAAACGACAGCGTTTTGACATTAAATAGGGCAAAAGAAAAGGAGAAAGAAAAGGCAGTAAAAATAAAAGGCAGATCCGCATATATATATACTTAATATATATATATATATATATATATATATATATATATATATATATATATATATATATATATATATTTTGGTTCAAAATTGTCCACTTTAAAGAAAATAAGTATAATTATATTGTCAGTAATAATGTAATATATGATAATCTTAGGGTAAAATTCAAAATCGTCCCTCAGATTTGCTGTCAACTTCAAAATCATCCCTGAGGTTCTACTGAACTTCAATTTCATCCTTCAAGCATTTCTTTTCACCGGCCAAATGAGAAGAAATTTTACGAACTCCCAATATTGTCCTTTACCACTTTTATTAACTATTTGGCTCCATTTTTTCAAAAGGAAAATAATAATTATTATTTTTCTCTATGAAGATTATATATGATTTTTTTTAACATGGACTTAATTAAAAATCTACGGGCTATTTGATAAAATCCCCTCATTGAATTTTGACTTTTTGATAAATCCATTTTTTGTAATTGATATTTGCTAAATCCAATCAACTCATAATACCTTATATGCCCCAATTAATTATTCCAAAAAATAAAAAACAAAAATAAAAATCTGCAGATAAATGCAGATCCCCCCTAATTAATAGCATCGAAAAATCCTTCAAAATATTATGCCCCCAAATCACGCTCCAAATGCACTCGAAAATTATTGTTTGTTCCATCGTTTACACCAAGCCCACCCGAGAATGGAGATTGTTGTTCTAGGGGAAGAAACGGATTAAAGACTAAAAACATCTTTTTTTAAGGAAGCCACAGTTATTCGTAACCGTTAACATGACAAGATAGTCCAAAAATAAGCGGCGAAAAATTATATATCCTTTAATATCAAAATTAAATATATGTTATTTCTTAGTTAGGCGTATAATAATGGTGATAATTAAGTGTTTTTAACTAATAAAAATTGTTTTGGATTTTATCTTAAAATGTAAAATAAAATTGGACTCATTGTAATGACACATAAGTAATGAGGGTTTTGTCAAATTTTCCCTATAATTTAATACATTATTTAATATGTAAATTTGATAATTAGGCTCTATATTTCTATCATTAAAGAAAGGTAAACAATCATTTTTTTCCAGTTCATCTTCAGTTAATACACATTCAACTAGTTCGTCTTACACAGCCCACATAAATTGCATAATAATTAACATAATAAAAAGAGTTTCTATATTTTGTTTTTAAATATATATTTAATATATACTATTTTAATTAAATTTCATAAATGTTTACATTTTATGGTATTTTATATGACAAATTTTAAAAAAGATCAGGGCTCCATCTCTGAACCCTACAAATATTTAATTTTATTATTCTAATCTCAGCCCCCAATAAAATATTTATGGTTATGCCCCTCGATGAATGCATAATGTTTTTCTATAGATTGTTTGTGTTCATATTTGTAGGAACCAAAATTTTCCCCAACATTTATTTTCCCAACAGCTAGTTTTTCAAACTATTTATTTCCACCAAATTAAAGTCACCTTTTAATAAAGGGTAGTTTTGGTATTTATTTATTTCTTCCCAAATTTACCGGTAAAATGAGGCAAGGAAGGATGAAATTGAAGTCAATTAGAACCTCAGGGATAAATTTGAAGTTGAGTGCAAACCTTAGGGATAATTTTAAATTTTAACCGATAATCTTATATATGGATTCTTTATTGGGTTAATATGCTAGAGGTCCCTAGTTGGAAACATAATTAGATATGAGTTACAACCCTAATATTTTTTTCTGAACTAAATCCTTTTTACAAAAATAAATATGACCCACATCCTTTTTTTTTTTAATCCCAAATTTGCCCTCAACTTAAATTCATAAATTCTACACGTTTATCCCAGATCTATTTTTCTTATTTTCTTCCCTCTTCTCTCTCTCGTTCTCCCTCTCTCGTTTCTCTTTCTCTCTTTCTCCGTCTCTCGTTCTCCCTCTCTCGTTTCTCTTTCTCTCGCTCTCTCTCTTCATCACTTCCCACCATTGTTGAGGGGGCGATGGCTATGGCGCAACTATGGCGGTGGAGGGGCGTTAATAAGGGGATGGTTATGGAGGCATGAGGTTACGACGACTATGGTGGTGGAGGTCAGATCTACGGCGGGTTGTGGCTAGGTTTTAATTTGGTCGACGACTAGGGTTTAATTTGGTCGACGGCTTTGGCGGCTAGGGTTTAATTTGGTCAGACTACGGTGGATGGTGGTTAGGTTTTAATTTGGTCGACGGCTAGGGTTTAATTCGGTCGACAACTATGGCGGTTAGGGTTTAATTTGCTCGGCGGCTAGGGTTGGTGGACGATTAGATTTTTGAATGTAGGGTAGGGTTTATTTGGTCGACGGCTATGACGGCTAGAGTTTAATTTGGTCGATGGTTAGGGTTTAATTTGGTTGAAGGCTAGGATTGGTGAACGACTAGATTTTTGCAGGTAGGATTTGGCAGCGTATACTCACTGGAATTGTGCTCGTGTTATCAGTTATTTATGTTGTACTAGTAAGTTTTATATACACTTGTAGGCCTTGTTTGGTAATTCTGATTAGATTTGCGCCTTGTTTGGAAATTGTGATTTACGTTTCAAGTCCATGATTTAAAAAAACTAAAATATGGACCCGGATTTTAATCGAAAATATGGAGGGTATGTACTATCTGTTTCTTTTCTTGCTTTTTACTTACCTATAATCGATTTTTTTTTAGTTAAGTTTCTATTTTCGTAATATGCAGGTATGCGTTGTTCTAAAAGCAGTGGTTAATCTCGGCGACGATGCGTATTTTGTGGCAGT